AGTAAAATGAACATCGCGAAGCTTATTTTCAGGGATTTTCTTTAGTGTAACTTTATGGTATACTGCTAATACTAGGATATATCACCACTATAACTGGCGTTCAACTTAATTCCAACTTACTGTTATGATGAGAGTGTTATTTGCATGAGCTATGGAGATCGCACTCTGTTCCAGATTTAATTTTGCTCTTTCCATATCAGAAATATGAAATCTTTTAAAATATCTGTGAAGAAAGCAGGAAATTATTAAAGTAGGTTCTTAAAATGAACTGAGGCAAATTTCAGAACTCAGAACTCAGAACTCAGAACTGAACATCAATCAAAGTTGGCTTTCAGTAGAACCGCTGATGGTAAGTTAAACATCCAGAGAGAGGCAATCAATTATAAGTTGGTCAATGGGTGTTTTGAAGGAGGCCTACAACCTGAGGGAGACAAAGTTTCTTGTGGCTTTAAGGAGTTAACTTCCACAGAAGATGTGACCTGCAAGGAGACCTTGGGCATTAACAGGGATACAAATGAGTCCCTGGGACTTAATCCGGGACAACAGTTACTTCTGTAGCTGGTCCTTGTGGATCATGAGCGGCTTTACCCTCTGCCAGTTCAATTTTAATAGTCTTTAATCTTTAATCGTTAATCATTATTTATACATGGTAAAAACATCAGGTAGAAAAAATTACACTTTTTCTACCTGAAAAATTAGTCTGCAGATCATTGCTCCCACCCCTTCCACCCTGCACTGGGTAAAGTATCCGTTAGGTTTGGCTTCTGCAGATTGGATTTGAATGACAGTGAGTAGTGATTGCAGATCACAAGGTTGAACTAAATAGCTAGAACAACACACCAGAATTACTCAGCTGCACATACAGGTGTACACATGTACCTTCAGGGTGCATATTATATACAGTACTCCAAAGCTCATCCATCGCTGATGAGTTTTATAAATACTGAGTCACACATTATATTTTTCATCAGTAGGCAAATTTTTGGCCAGGTTTATATTATGTTCAATGAGTGCCAGTTGACTCTTACTTTTTGTTGCTTGTCCTTACTGTAATGGACTGCTTGTCATCATCAACCGTCACACTGTACACATTCAGAGGATAGGGAAGGTTTCTTATCCTCCACTGAAATGCTTTGCTATTATCTTTTCTTGTGCAAATTGGCTAAGGATGGATATATATATGTAAATTCAAAGTTAGCAAATAATATTTTGTGTAAACAGACACCCAAGTTTAATACTGGACCTACTGTATCCAAATGAGTATAAAGTCAGTGAAAAAAGTTGAAAAAGCAGACAGTGTTTGTACATGTACTCACATTTCCTCTACTTTCATTGATATTTTCCACATCTAGGTTCACTGGTCTCATGTCTTCACCTATCTCATATTCCCATTTGCCTTCTCTTCCTACACTAGACTTCTTCTTCCACTTCCTTACTGGAATGGAATAGTTAATAGGCAGTTGATCCATTATTGCACTTTGTTATCCCACATTGAGCCATTTTACCATACCTACAGCTGTAGGCCAAGAGAATGTGCAAAGTAACAGCCTGTACTACACTGATTGGTATGATTTTCAGATGATGCAGGATGTATTTCAAAGACCAGAAACCCAAACACTAGAAAATGACGGAGGAATAAATTCTGCATCTGATTGTTTAACATATTATCATTAATTAGCAGCCACTCAGCTGTGTTTACGGGAAATCCACAAATCTGATTGGTACTCTCATAATTTTTTATTCACTGAATCTGATGGACGTGTGTGTGCGCTGCTCTTCAAAAATAATTCTTAATTTTAGGTGAAAATACCCAAAATTGTAGGTTTTGTGCTGTAATGCTTTAGAGTGTCTACAAAAAAAAAATAAGAGTACTCACCCTCACTTTGTATGAGCAATAGTCAACTCGACTATGCCTCGTTGACTGTTTGCTCAATACATAGAAAACTTGGGCTCGTAGTCTAATTGTTGAATACACAGGTGGCCACCTAAAGGCATATCACACTAATAACTTGTCACAAGTTTAGCACTGACTGCAACTTACCCAATAGTTCTCCAGATGATACATCATACTCTTCCACCATCTCTGTTTCATCAGGGAAAGTGTAATGGACTTTACGTCGACCTGGTGACATTATGAACATTACAGAAAAATAACACCCAAAAGTTTTAAAGCTTAGTGAAAAAAGTACAAGCCATAGCCCAGGAAGCTGAGTTGGATCAGGTCCCATAGCAACCATCCAAGCACCATTTCTCACCTCGACTGTCAGTAGACACTCAGACAACTACTTATGCCTCAACTCCTTTACAATATATACTCCTTTAGCAAACAACCCTATTGCTGGTGGTTAGTTGTCACTGATTACTGATTAGGCCAAATTTCTAAAGTTTACAACCTACGTGTATTTAATATTTACCGTCTCCAGCCAAAAGGATTATTGTCCCCTAAGGTTTTGTATTATTCTGTTTTAAGTAAGCATCTATCTTCTTTAGGTTTAACGGAACAAGAACCTGCCACACATTTTAGGAAATTGTTCTGATAATATACACACACGTACGTAGTCTATAATGAACGATAGCGACACGTAAGATTTCAAGCTTACATTTCCCCGATTTCCCGAGTGATGTCTCAACACGCAGTCTTGCAGCATCAATCTTCGTTCTCTATCTTCATTGTCGACAAAGCTTTATACAAACTAAGTTTATTCAGTTTTTGATGGTTTGCATCACTTACCATCTTGAACAAGACTCGTCTTTCTCGCTTTTCGAAGCGTTTCCAACCAAACAAACTTCCCTTCTGCCGCCGCCATTTTAAATTCGCATTTTAAAGATGCTGCTGACCACAAGCAAAGTAGGCTCGAGAACTCTGATCTGAGAGAGGTTGGTAAAGAAACTGTGGAAAACTGAAACATTTTCACCACAATTGCTACTAATCTCGCAATCTGATTGGCTAATTTGCTGTTGTCGATAAGAGTCCAGACAACGCTGCTCGCGTCAATGTGTCACACTCTTGTTCACGCTCTGAAAAACATTGATATTGTGGTAAAAAAAAAAATCAAATGAGGTTTAGAGTTGTGATAAGTTAATAAAGATGGTGAATTTTTTAAGCTCGGTAATGAAATGTGAAGGTGAATTAATCAACATGACACGAACGTGGGACAAAGAAAAATTCTGAGTCCCCGACAGGAATCGAACCCA